ATAGATGTAGAACAGGAAATCAGAAATCTAGAAGTCTCTAAAAGCCAGTACCCACTCTGCAGGCTAGGACTAAAGAATACCCTCTGGTTCTACCAGCTCTGCCAGGAAATTGTTTGGGGCCCGGGGTCCAGGCGGGGGTCTTATTTAGGAGCTGGGCAGCAGTCGTCTGTTGGAGGACTGACATTTGGTCCTCCTCCCTGTTAGCTCTAACTGGTCACAGAGAGGCTGGGATTGACCCTGGACTGAGAGATCTGAGCCCTGACCTTAATTAGAGTCTGACATCCCGCAAGTAGCCTTGATTTCCTTTGGTTCGTCTGCAGAATGTATTTGTTGTAGGCTAGGGAGGGAAAATTTTTCACTTTTTTAAATGTATAGTCAGTCCCTATTAGCTGGATGTTCGTTACCTGCCATTGGGTAACGATGGCAGGTAATACACTTTGACTTTGATTTTACCTTGATTCTTGCACCATGAGGATCAAGACTACATTGAAATAGTTTTCTTCACTATTGGATGGCCAGAAAGAAAAAGTGAAAAATATTCCAGATGAAATTTATCAGAGTGTTCCCAAACCCCCTGGAACGCTTCAGTGCAGACAGAAAGTACTTTGCCCAGAAGCTGGCCAGGCAAGTTATATTCAAGGGACCAGACCGACCATACATCCACCCCATTTCAACCTGGCAAGGTGATCATATGAATGTTGTAAAATGTTTACAATGTTTTAGAAACAGGTTTTTTGCAACATGTTGGGTGAATTTTGAGATCCAAAGGACCCCTTTTGAAAGCTCTTTGGTCTCTTGGTGTTTATTTCCCTCTCTACACTGAAGGGGTGACTAGAAGGACAAATTGTCTATCCTTCCCCTCCCTCAGCCACCGTGTACTTTGGTTTGTTGATGCTAGAGACTTCCAGTGTGACATGGATTTTCTTTGTCAAATTGGTGGTTATAAGAAGTGAGCTCCATGACAAGTAGGAAAGTTGTCTCTGCACAGAACTAGGCTTGGCTCACAGCAGGAGTTTAGAGGATACAGGTAACCCCCACTTTTTAAAAAATCCTCACCCAAAGATATGTATTGATTAGAGATGGGGAGGGGAGGATCGAACTTGAAACCTAGGTATATGCCCTAACTGGGAATCGAATCCTCCACCTTTTGGAGAACAGGTTGATGCTCCGATTAAATAAACTAAGCCACCCTCCAGGGCCAGGTATCACCCACTTTTGGTTCACATTAATGCCATTTTGCTTTTGTCAAAGACCTACATTAGTACCTATTTAACTGAAAGAAATTTTAAGAGGATTTTTGCTTTTACGAAAAAAGGTGAAAAGTGAAAATAGCATTCAGCAGTTCTGCAATAAGCCATGTACTTCTTCCCCAGGAGCCACACTCAGCATCAAGCCAATGTAGCTTTGAGCTGTGTTTGTGAGCATTTGGGCTTTCTCTTTATGTTGTTCATCTATTAACAAGATTTGTCCTAAGGTATCAGAAAAACCTAAGAGAGCTCACGGGGGTATTAAGTTTAGGGTAAACTGGGTGTAATTAAGCATTTAAAAAATATTTTTATTGTTTTTTTTTTGTTTGTTTTTAGAGAGAGAGGAAAGGAGAGAGAGAAATATCAATGTGAGAGTGAGAGAGAAATATCAATGTGAGGTCAGCTGCCTCCTATATGCCTCCAGTGTGCCCCCCTACTGAGAATCGAGTCTGAAACCCAAGCATGTGCATTGACCAGGAAGCAAACCAGCAAGGGACAACGTCCAACTCAACTGAGCCACACCAACCAGGGCTAATTAAGCATTTTGATTGTGGTGAAGTAATCACATGTGTGCACATTGAACTTGCCTGTGTCTACCATTCGTATTATTTACACATGTGCAGAGAGCAAGAATCTTGAAAGCTGCCTAAATTATTATTGGTTCTGCTAGTAACAAAGTGGCCTTTCTAGGTTGATGTTCAGTGATGGATAAATTGGAAAGCCTATTGCTTGAATTGGATTGGTAGGTGGTGTAAAGTGTGTTGTGTATTTTATCATATCATTCCTGCTTTTACTATACATTAGGTTTAAAATTTGTTGTTAATCCTCGCCTCAGGATATTTTGCCATTGATTTTTAGAAAGTGTGAGGAAGGGAAAGGCAAGAGGGGGAAAGAGAGAGGCGGGGGGGAGGGAGGAGGAAGAGAGGGAGAGAGAGATGTGAGAGAGACACATCAATTGGTAGCCTACTGCATGCAGTCAACCACTGGGACCAGAGATGGAATCTGCAATCCTTCAGTGTGCAGGTCAGCGCTTTAACCACTGAGCAACACCATCAGTGGTAGAGCATCGGTCTGTGGACTGAAAGGTCCCGGGTTCGATTCCGGTCAAGGGCATGTACATTGGTTACGGGCACATCCCCGGTAGGGGGTGTGCAAGCGGCAGCTGGTCGATGTTTCTCTCTCATCGACGTTTCTGGCTTTCTATCTCTCTCCCTTCCTCTCTGTAAAAAATCAATAAAATATATATTTTTTTAAAATATCAATAAAATATATTTAAAATATATATTTATATATTTAAAAATAAATTAATGGTAATTTCTTAACTTTACAGCATTCGGTTTACAAAGGGTTTCATATGAACTCTACTTTCAGATAGTGGGGGAAACCTGAACTTGCTAACTGCAAGAATGGATTGGATTTAAGGAGAGGTGGTGAATGGATGCATATGTCTTCTGAATATATGGTCCTAGTAAAGATACTTTAAATAAAATTTAAGAAATAGTAATTGTAAATATGTGGTTTTTTATCCTCAAATTCTTGGGTCTCTAAAAAGTATTTCACCAATTTGATTTTATGGGATAAAACAAATTCTGGGAGAAGTAATTCTTACATGGAATTTATTTAATGTATCTATTTTTTTCTGAAAAAACACATTCTTGCTTCAGATCGGAGTTTTGGATAGCTACTATAAAACCAAGTTGAAAATCAGCCCTAGCTGATTTTGCTCAGTAGATAGAGCATCTGCCTGCGGACCAAAGGGTCCTGAGTTCATTTCTGGTCAAGGGTACATACCTCGGTTGTGGCCCAGGCCCTGGTCAGGATGCATGCAGGAGGCATTCAATAGACGTGTTTCTCTCTCGATAGTTCTCTCTGTCTTTCCCTATCTCTTACACTCTCTCTAAGAAATCAGTGGAAAAATATCCTCAGGTGAGGATTTAAAAACAAAACAAAACTCTAATGTTGGTAATTTCTGAAAATCAGAAATGCCCTTTATATTAAAAGTTTACTGAGCTGCCACATTACCTTGACTAAATCATCAGAACTCAAAGTTGAGCTTAACTAGGCTTTTTGAAGAATTTTTTTGTTAAATTTAAGTTGAATTTGAGTTTCAGTGGAATTTAAATTTGTTTCTGTTTACTCTAGTAAAGCAAATAGGGCAAAAATGGCTGCTAGAATATGTTTACTTTCAAAAGGAGAGAAATATCAGCTGAAAAAGTTACATGTGAAAACTAGTTGTACATATGAAAATGCACAGAACAAGATCATTTTTGTGACACTAGTTTGGTTTTATTTGTGTTTTTATATGGACATTTCAGCAGAAAAGGTTAGTTGTATGGAGCATTGCTTTGTTTGCAACCTAGAATTTTAGAGCTGCAAGAAATAATGCAATTCATCTTGTGCAAGACATAGGTCTTACAAATGAGGATTAAAGTTTATAGAAGGGAAATGTATGTTTCCCAGCATGACTGGACTAGAGCAAGCTGGAGTGTAGATCTCTTGAATGAGAACTTACCATAGGCGGTCTTTCCTGGGACCCCCTTCCTCCCAGTTTTCAAACATCCATCGCACCAAGATACCTGGAAAGTAGAGTGAGCAGTACACAGCAGGTGGAATGTTACAACTTAGAGAAAGAGCACAGGCAGGCAGTGAGAAAAGCCAATCTTTTATTGATTGGTTTCTGTTTCTCCAGAGGAGAGGAGAGTGAGCATCAGAATATAAATTTGAGGTTTCCTAAATTCACTCTTGTGGAGATTCCTAACATGTGTTGGTTACAGGCCCTTAAAGAGGCATAGGTGGGAGAGTTCCTTCTTCCTGTTTTTGCCTTTATCTAGTATATATTTTATATTTTTTCACTAATTTTATAATGGGAAATTTCATTTAAAATTAGAGGATAATATAACAATTCCTCAAATGCGTACCTGTCATCTGTTTGGGAGTTACCAACGTAAGTCCAGTTGTTTGTTATCTAGGCTTCTTTCCTACCAGTACATCTTGCCTCACTAGGTTATTTTATTATTATTATTATTATTATTATTATTTTTAATCCTCACCTGAAGATATTTTTTCCATTGATTTCCAGAGAGAGTGGATGGGTAGAGGGAAGGAGAGAGAGGGGGTTGCCTCCAACACGCCCCCATGGATTTAGGAAACTTGCAGCCTAGGTATATGCCCTTGACCACGAATCGAATTTGAGACCCTTTGGTCTGCAGGCTGAGGTTCTAACCACTGAGTCAAACCAGCCAGGGCCTCACTAGGTTATTTTAAAGCAAACCCCAGACATTATATCATTTCTTTGTCAGTGTTTCTATTGTGTGTTTTAAACTTCAATCTGTTGGGGAAACATGAAAGAAACTGTTTTCTTAGAAAATAATTATTAAGCTGAAGGAGCTTCCCTTTATTAATGATTCTAGAAGGTTTTGTTCTCTAAATTATTTTCTTAATGCATTGGTGGGGGAATTGATGAGTATGGCTGAGGGTAAGGATGGGAAATTGCTGGCTCTTAGGAGGAGGAGACAGATGTAGCTGTTGAGAATAGCTTTATTAGCCGTCTGCCTTAGTGTGTAGCTGCTTGAGCAAGTTGCTCTGTTCATAATTCTGACTTGAACCCTGAAAATGAACCTTTAATTTGTAATTGTTATGAAGCTTTCATAGGAAATAACAGTTTTTGCTTCCCTGGGTCAAAGTGAGCATACCTGAGGCCCTTCTTTTATATGTGATTTTCCCAATACCTGATGTTGCCTCTTTTTGTTTCAGATGGGAATGACTGGTAATACAAGTCCATTTGGACAACCTTTTAATCAAACTGGAGGGCAGCCAATGGGAGCCCCTGGAGTGAACCCCCAGTTATCTACCAAGCAGAATGTGGTCACCAGTTTGCCTCCCTTCCCTGCAGACATCAAGAATGCTTCAGTCACCAACGTGCCAAACATGGTAAGTTGCCCTTGTCTCTCAGGGCTTTGCTGGAGAGATTTTATTGTGCTGATAGTAAAGATCTGTAACTAAAAGTATATTGTAGGTAATAAGAAAATAACCCATATCTCTTTTTAAATAAATCTTTATTGTTCAGATTATTACAGGTGTTCCTCCCCCTGCCCCCCCATAGTTCTCTTCCACCTAATTCCCCACCCAACCCCATGCCCTTACCCCCTGCCACTGTCTTCATCCATAGGTGTAAGATTTTTGTCCTATCTCTTCCCACACCCCTCAAACCCCTTCCCCTTGAGAATTGTCAGTCCACTCCCTTTCTATGTCACTTGATTCTATTATTTCATCAGTCCATTCTGTTCTTCAGATTTTTTTATTCGCTTGATTTTTAGATTCACTTGTTGGTAGGTATGTATTGTCACTTTTTTGTTCATAGTTTTTACCTTTACATTTTTCTTCTTCCTCTTCTTAAAGAATATCCTTCAGGCATTTCATGTAATCCTGGTTTGGTGGTGATGAACTCCTTTAGCTTTTTCTTATCTGTGAAGCTCTTTATCCGACCTTCAATTCTGAATGATAGCTTTGCTGGGTAGAGTAATCTTGGTTGTTGGTTCTTGCTGTTCATCACTTTGAATATTTCTTGCCACTTTCTTCTGGCCTGCATAGTTTCTGTTGAGAAATCAGCTGACAGTTGTATGGGTACTCCCTAGTAGGTAACTAACTGTTTTTCTCTTGCTACTTTCAAGATTCTCTCTTTGTCTTTTGCCCTTGGCATTTTAATTATGATATGTCTTGGTGTGTTCCTCTTTGGATTCCTTTTGTTTTGGGGTTCTGTGTGCTTCCTGAACTTGTAAGTCTATTTCTTTTACCAGGTAGGGAAAGTTCTCTGTCATTATTTCTTCTAATTGGTTTTCAGTATTTTGCTCTTTCTCTTCTTCTGGCACCCTAAAAATTCGAATGTTGGTACGTTTGAAGTTGTCCCAGAGGCTCCTTACACTATTTTCATATTTTTAGGTACTTTTTTCTTTTTGTTTTTCTGGTTGGGTGTTTTTTGTTTCCTCATATTTCAGATCTTTGGTTCGACTCTTGAGGTATGTTGATCTACAGTTGAGGTTCTGTGTATTCTTTATTTCAGACAGTGTGCGCTTAATTTCTAACTGATCCTTTTCCCTTTTTTTTTTTTTTTTTTTTTTTCATTCTCATTAAGGTCCTTGAAGGTCTCTTCAAGTTTCTCAGTGGTTTTTAGAAGATTCTTGAGTGACCTTATAAATGTGGTTTTGAACTCTGTGTCATCCAGTAGTTTGTTTTTCTCCATTTCTTTCATTCGTGACATGTTTCTATGTCTCTGCATTTTGGCTGCTTCCCTGTGTTGATGGAGTGGCTTTGTGTGGTAGGTGACCTATAGGAGCCAGTAGCTCAGCCTCCCCAATCACCTGAGGTGATGCTCTTGGTACACCCCTTTGTGGGCTGAGTGCACAGTCTTGGTGTAGTTAAGCTTTGATTGCTGTTGGTACACTGGGAGGAATTAACCTCAGGCCAGTTGGCTGTGAGGACCCTCTGTGTCTATAATGGAAGAATTGCTGCGCTGGAAACATGCTTATGGTACAGGCCTTGTTTCTGTGGGGCTTTGGTGCTCACTGACTCCACCTCCCAAATGTGTCACTTATGGATGTGAGGAGCTGAAATTTGGTGTCTCACACTGACCACTAGGTACACTGGCTTCTGGATCTCCAGTGGGGTGCAGGTCAGCTACTGTCTGAGGCCACCCTGCAGGAGCTACAGCAAGAACCACAGTCCTCTCCTCCCTGCTTGGGGCTTGGAGGCTTTCGAGCTGTCTGAACTGGGTTGCAAGTTTGCTAGGATAAGCTGCGATAGGGAAGGCCATTCATATGCAAAAGCCACTGCTTGGAGCTTGGGTGGGCATGTAGGTTGTACTGGGTGGGGTCTCAGGGCGTCACCAGGGTAGGGTGTGGCAAACAGCAATGGCTGCCAGCCTACTGTCCCCCCCGCACTTCTGCTTCCGACTAAGTCCTCGTGTCTCGTGCCCAGTGCAGCAAGCAATTATTCCTTTGTTCAGCTCTGCAAGCAAGCCACTATCACTTTCCGACCTGATGGCAGACAGTCCAGCTTCTCCCCGTAGGAGTTTGGGTCCTCCGCCTCTCCCCAGAAACTGGATTTCAGAGAAATCGGAAGCTTGTCTCCCTTTGGATTGAGGAAAGCAACGCCCGCCACCAGCCGGGATCCACCACCAGCCTGTATCAGGCACACCTCCATTACTTCAGCTTTTCAGCGCTTGTGCCCTGAAGGCTCTTTTCTCTTTCCTTCTAGTTGTAGAATTTTCACTCAGCCAGCTTTCCTGTGGTTCTGGGTGATAGGCGTTTTGTCTTTTAGTTGTAGTTTTGAAATTGTTGTGCGAGGCAGCAGTTTAGGTGTTTACCTATGCCGCCATCTTGGATCTCCAGCAAAAAATAACCCATATTTCTTATGAATAACTCTCTCTCAGGGAGTTTACATTTTCTGTGATGAGCTGGCAATCAGAGGGCTAGGTAGAGGTTATTCAGTCAGTCCTCCCAGGTTCTCTTTGTGGAGACAGGGTTCATGACTATGAATCACTGTTCCTTTCTCTTCAATTACCCTCTTGATTCAGTAGTATAGCCAAGAGAATCAAGAAGTAGGCTTTTCTCACAATTTCTATCTGTTAGTGATTGAGGCTGTCAGTAGAAGCCCTTTGATTTTTATTACAGTCAAAGAACATTCATCTTCCATGTATCGTGTCTATGAGACATGGATATTGTGACTGACTTGTTAGATGGGTTTGAGTGTCTTCAGTCTTTCTGAGATTTCACCAATAAAATAGGGATTATCCTTGTAACCTCTCGGCCTAACTATCCAAGATATTTTGGGAAAATAGCTCCTTTTGCACTGCAGAATAGACTCTCTTTTTATTCCAAACAAAAAGGGAAGGTGTGTATGTTTTTGTCAGACTTCACTGTGCACTCACAGCTGCTAAATGAGGCTGGAAACAGCCATGTCTTCATCTTTTTTTAATTATTTTTTTCTTTATTAAGGTATTATATGAGTACATATCTTACTATTGACCCCCTCCCCAACCCTACTCCCATATATGCCCTCACCCCCCAATGTTTTGCATCCATTGGTTATTCTTGCATGCATATAAGTCCTTCAGTTGATCTCTTATCTTCCCCCATCTCTTCCTACCTTCCCACTGTAATTTGACTGTTTGATGCTTTACTGCTTCTGTATCTATCTTTTTGTTCATCAGTTTATAATGTTTTTTATTATCTACAAATGAGTGAGATTGTGTGGTATTTTTCTTTCATTGACTGGCTTATTTCACTTAGCATAATGTTCTCCAGTTCCATCTAGGTTGCTGCAAATGCTAAGAATTCCTTCTTTTTATGGCAGCATAATATTCCATTCTATAGATGTACCATAGTTTTCTGATCCAGTCATCTGCTAACGGGCACCTAGGCTAGAAACAGCCAAGTCTTTCATTCCCTGGGCTTGTGACTGGGAACCTGCCCTTCAAGAATTGTCTAGTTTCAGCCATACACATCCAGAACCTAAAACAAAGCCTCCTGCTCCCCTAGTTTGCCCTTCAGAGCTCTGGAGGCAGCATTCTGCATCTGGCACCCACATTCTCCCTAATCTCACCTGCCTTTTCTTTTCCATTCCTCATTAGGAGGGTGGTAACATGGACTCCAATTCTAGCAGTCATCACCAGAGTTTGCTCAATGACCTGGAGCACATTTTGGTTTCAGAGTAAGAGCATTTGCCGAAACTGGTTTGGCTCAGTGGATAGAGCATCGGCCCTCAGACTGAAAGGTCCCAGGTTCGATTCTGGTCAGGGGCATGTACCTTGGTTGCGGGCACATCCTCAGTGGGGGTTGTACAAGAGGCAGCTGATCGATGATTCTCTCTCATTGATGTTTCTAACTCTCTCTCTCTCATTCTCTCTGTAAAAAATCAATTATATATATATATGTGTGTGTGTGTGTGTGTGTGTGTGTGTGTGTGTGTGTGTGTATATATATATATATATATATATTTATTTTTTTTTAAGAGCATTTGCTTTTCCACAGCCATTCTGTATTTTTAGTCCCATAAACTCTGACTTAATACTTTCCTCCTTTTTTTCTTTTCAAATCTTCTCCAGCCTCACTTCCTCATTCTCTCTTCTTTACCTACAACTTGGTGGTGGAATCCTTTCACTCCACATCCCCCTGCATTCCTGTGCTGATCCAGGGGACTAAATTTCTGAAAGTGGTACATTTATCAGGGTCAAATTCAGACTTGACTAGAAAGAGGCATCTGGTTCCCTTCACTGTGCCAGGGCTAGTGGGGCAGCCCTTTGGTCTTGAGCAGGGCTTCTCTCTCCCTCTGCACTGTTGACAATTGGGGCTGGATCATTCTCTGTGGTGGGGGTTGTCTTGTGTATTGTGGAATGTTCAGCAACATCCCAGCCTACACCCACTAGATTTCTCACAGCACTCTTCCCCTCTCCCTTTTCTTCCTCCCATAGTGGCCTCTGGTGACAGCCCCTGCTCTGGAGTATGGTTAGGGGAAACAGTAGCAACAGCACCTCATCCTTTTGTCTGCTTTTGTGGCATCTAATAGAAATAAAACCAGTTTTTTTCCTCTCTTATCTTTATCTTTATCTCTACCTCTCCCTTTCTCTACCCATTCCACCTGGCATCTGCACTGCTTTTCCAGCTGCCACTTTCCCACCAGGAGGGTAGACTTTGAGTGAGCTCCTCAGACCTTTACCAAGGGAGTGGTGCTTTACCTGTGTGTGTGTGCCTGTGAGGCAGAGTAACGCAGGCACAGCTTTCATGCTGCAGAAGCAGGAACGAGAGGGGTCTGGGCAGAGAAGTGGACAGTCAGTGCACACAGTTCACCTGGCATCTCAGTGCCACCTTGTCCTGTGTTTTATCTTATTCTTGGAATAGTCTCTTTGAAAGACATCATTACATCTCCCATTTTAC